AATGGATGAAGTGAGCCTGTCACTTCAAGGAAAACAACTGACAGTATTTATTGCCAATGATAAATCTGAGCTTCCAAATGAAAACTAGAATTCTCAAAATTTCGTATTTGTTAGCATGAGCTTGAGACTTTCCAATACTTAAACTTTTCTAATGGGATTGGTGATCATATTAATGAACATAATTTTTTTCTTATAGATGCAATGGTTCAGGATATTTGCAGAACTCAGTGAACCGATATTTTCCAAATCATGCACAGATGAATTATCCATTCAAAATGCAAGAATGACCGATAGACTTTAAGGTAACAATATGAGAATTCCATTAACCTGGTTTCAGATTCCACATTACAGTTGACCTTTAAGAAATTATTGCTTGTCAAATTTTGATATGGTATGGAAGAAGAATATCCACAGTTATCTAAAAGAGTCATTTAAATGTTCTCCTTTTCCAACTGCATATTGTGTGAAGTTGGATTATCACATATTTCAAATCAAAACAACATCTCCCTACACATGGAATGCTGACACACTTCTTTAAAGCCAAACATAAAAGAGATTAGCAAAATTATTTTTTAGTACCACTTTTCCCCTTATGTTTTGTTTTGAAAACATAATGATTTTTCATGAAACTAAGTCATTTATGTTAACATGTAATTTTTTTAATTTCTAAATTACAAATAAATATGTAAAATATATTTAAATATTGAAAATTCTCCTCAATTTTAATTTCAAACCTGGTAAATACAGGTAGGTATACCCCACATGAACAAAAATCTCTTGGAGTCATCCCTCACTGATTTTTAAGTGTTTAAATGCTGTTAAGACCACAAGGGAACCAGTGCACAGAGAGGCCTGCAGGGAGAGAATCACAGAAGCCCAGGAAACAAACATTCCCTGTGTCTCAGTTTCCTAACTGGAGAGTTGTGACATTTTAGTCCATCCCAGCACTATCCTTTGTGAGTCATGAATAATGCTGTTTAAAATCCTTTCTGACTTCTCTTTCAATGTGCTCTTTCAAAAAGCATACTTAAGTGAAGGCTGGATATTGGAGCCATGACACCACAATCCAGAAACCTACAGACACCCACTGACCTCTTACTCTCTTGCAGGCTAAGGACACAGGAAGCAAGACCATGTTCCTGTCTGGCCTTGAAGTTTTCATCCATCAGCTCGACTGTCTCAGGGACAAGTTTTCTCATGATGCTAGATCCACCCTTGGTTCTCCAGGACAGTGTCAGTGACCTGCCCATGTCCAGTGGTTTTCCTTTTGCTTCCTGCTACTGCCCTTGTATTATTTCATGAAAATCCCTTTGCTGATGAGTTTTCAGCATATGAACTTTGGGAGAGGTGACATATTAAGACCATGAAATATAGTTTATCAATTCTTTCTTTCATGGATTTTGCCTTTGATGTCATATGTAAACCCAACCCAAGTCCAAATCAGAGACTTTGGGTTTGGATGTCACTGTCAAACCCAAAGTCATCCAGATTTTCTCCTCTGTTATCTTCCAGGAGTTTTATACTTTTCCATTTTACATTTACATCTATGACTCACTTGAGTTACTTTTTCTGAAGGGTGTAGGTCATGTTGTTCTAGAACCATTTGTTGAAGATGGAGGTGTAGGTGGACACACTGTGCCTTCTCGCATAGCCAAGTTTAAAAACAACAAAGTTTTAGCAACAAAAACACAGCCAAACCACAGAAAACTGAACTATATGGAAGTCTGACAACAACAAACCCTTCAGCCAAACTAGTAAGAGGGGCAGAGCCAGCAGCAGAGCGGGGTCACGCAGGAAAGATCCACTGGACCAACCCGGGCACTCAACCCAGGCGTGCTGGCAGCCGTGGGCGGATCCCAGGTGTGAAATAGCAGGCGGACCCACTGATGGTGGACTGCAGTCACACATTTGTGTGCAGATAAATTGGTGAAGGAGCGAGCAGTGAGATGAACAGTGCAGGCCCCAGCAGCAGGAAGCAGCAGAAGGGACCGCTATTGTCCCTCTCTGACCCTGCCCCCACATACAGCATCACAAACCAGCAACCTGGGTGGCCCTGCCCTGGTGAACAACTAAGGCTCTGCTCCTCATATGTAACAGGCATGAACAGATCAAAACATGGCTCAAGAACAACTCAGAGCCCCAGAGCCAATAACTCTAAGCGAACAAGAAATTGCCAAACTTTCAGATGCACAGTTCAAAACACTGGTGATCAGGATGCTCACAGCACTGGTTGATTTTAGTTACAAATTAGAGGAACATATGAAGGCTAAACTAATTGAAATGAAGGGAAATGCACAGGGAACCAACAGTGTTGGAAAGGGAACTGGGACTCAAATCAAAGGAGTGGACCAGAAGTAAGAAAGCAATGACCAAACAGAAGAGTATGAAGAAACAAGAATTCAAAAAAAATGAGGAGAGGCTTAGGAACCTTCAGGGAATCTTTAAATGTTCCAACATCTGAATTATAGGGGTACCAGAAGGAGAAGAGGAACAGCCACGAGTGGAAAATTTATTTGAACAAATAATAAAGGAGAACTTCCCCAATCTGGCAAAGGAAATAGACTTCCAGGAAATCCAGGAAGCTCAGAGAGTCCCAAAGAAGTTGGACCCAAGAAGAAACACACTAAGGCACATCATCATTACATTAGCCAAGATTCAAATGAAGGAGAGAATCCTAGAAGCAGCAAGAGATAAGGGGACAGTCACCTACAAAGGAGTTCCCATCAGACTGTCAGCAGGTTTCTCAAAAGAGACCTTACAGGCAAGAAGGGGTTGGAAAGAAGTATTCCAAGTCATGAAAGGCAAGGACCTACATCCAAGATTGCTCTATCCAGCAAAACTTTCATTTAGAATGGAAGGACAGATAAAGTGCTTCTCAGATAAGATCAAATTCAAGGAGTTCATCATCACCAAGCCCTTATTATATGAAATGTTAAAGGGACTTATCTAAGAAAAAGAAGATAAAAAAAGATGAACAGTGAAAGGACAGCAAACTCAGTTATTAAGAACCACACCTAAAACAAAAGCAAACTAAGGACAGCTAGATTAGGAGCAGAACCATAGAAATGAAGATCACATGGAGGGTTAGCAACAGGAGAGTGGGAGAAGGAGAAGGGGGGAGAAGGTACAGAAAATAAGTAGCATAGATGGTGGGCAGAAAATAGATAGGGGGGAGGGCAAGAATAGTATGGGAAATATAGAATCTAAAGAACTTGAGACTCGTGGTCACAAACTAAAGGGGGGAATGGTGGGGGAGCGGTGTGCAGGGTGGAGGGGAATGAAGGGGGGAATAGAACAACTGTAATGGCATAATTAATAAAATATATTTTTTTAAAAAGGGGGGAATGGTCAGAGAGGGGGTGTGCAGGGTGGAGGAGAATGAAGGGAAGAATAGAACAACTGTAATGGCATAATCAATAAAATATATTTTAAAAATAGAGCCATTTGCTGAAAAGACTATCTTTGCTTCACTGTATTGCCCTTGTTCCTTTGTCAAAGATCGGTTGACTATATTTATAAGGTTCTGTTTCTGGGTTTTCTATTCTGTTCCATTGATCTTTGTCTATTCTTTAGCCAGTGCCACACTCTGTTGACTACTGTAGTTTTAAAGTAAGTCTTGAAGTCAAGTAGTATCAGTCCTCCTACTTTGCTCTCCCTCAATATCATTCTGGCTTTTCTGTGCCTCTCCCAGTTCACCACAGGGACAGCATCCTCTTCTCACTCTGTGGGTGGCCATTTGCCTGGGAATTGGGAGGAGTCTGTGTGCTCAGTGAATTCCCCTTCACCTGCTTAAGAATATCGCCTCGTAAAAATACCCCTTACTTCAGTGCCAGCTCCCCCAAAACCAGGGGCCCAGACTTTCAGACATGCCTTTGCTTAAAACACCCAGGGATTCCCATTGATGAGAGAATAAAATGTGAGCTCCTCACTGTCCTACAACACCTTGCTTGTGTGCCATTCCTCATCTCCTTCTCCCCCCTCACCCATTAGGCTGCAGCCACATTGGCCACCGTTATGTCCCTTGGCCATGCCAAGCCGTCTCCCACCCCTGACTTTGAGCTTCGTCAGCCTTGCTGCCTGGAAAGCCTCTTCTCCCCCTTCAGGACACCCCTCAAGTGGAGAAAATTTCCTTCACCTCTGTCACTTTAGGAGTAATGTCCCCATGTTCTCTCCATCATCACCTCTTTTATTTCCTTCATAGAATTTATCAAAAATATCCAAGTATCTTGCTTGTTCACTTAGTTGCTAACTAGCTGTCTTACGGATGGAACAGAAGCTTCTCAAGGACTTGGAGTGGTCCATCTTGTTCACAGCTCTCTTTCTAGATTCTAGGGTAGAATCTGCATATATTAGTCTCTCAATAAATATCTACGAATAAATGAGTGGATGAATGAGTTAGAGGAAATCTTCCATTCATGATTTTTCTTAAGTTAAAAGGACAGGCTGCTTTCTACCTAAAGAACAAAAAGTTCCCTTCTCTCAAAACCCTCTTGTGAAGGCTAAGACCTTCTTTTAGGCTTTGGAAACCAAAAACAAGAAAAGAAAGTTCCTTTCAGGCAAAGACAACATCTGCTTTTCCTCTTGCCAAAAACCTCAGCTGAAGGGGAGAAAGGGCACAGGGCAGGTTATTTTACTGAGTGAAGGGTGTGAAGATTGGAGAGGAGGTAAGGAAAAAGAAAAATTCAAGGAGGAAAAACCCAAATCAAGCTCTCTAGAGGTTGTCCAGCACACCTCACTGAAGGTGTCCTTGTGGTGGGTCCAGACAGCTGAGTGAAGGTGGGGTGGAGAGTCGCAGCCTTTTTCACACACAGACACTGGCGTCAGCTCAATTAGCCGACCAGCCTCATTCCTGGTCCTGGACTCCTGTTCCAACAGGACCTGGCCTTCAGGCAACACAACGGGGTAGGAGGGGGGGGAGTCTGAATGGTGAGTGAGAGCCCTGCTCCTTCTTAAGCGCCTGTGAGTCAAGCCAGGGCTGGATCGCCAGCCTGCCAGCCAGCTGTCCTGCAGAGCTAGGAGAGGAGCCCGGAGCTCACACCTGCATCCACACCTCCAGCCCCACAACTCCCATGGCTGACCAACTGACGGAGGAGCAGGTGGCAGAGTTTAGGGAGGCCTTCTCCCTGTTCGACAAGGACGGGGACGGCACCATCACCACCCAGGAGCTGGGCACCGTCATGCGGGCCCTGGGCCAGAACCCCACGCAAGCCGAGCTCCAGGGCATGGTGAGCGAGATCGACCGGGACGGCAATGGCACCGTGGACTTCCCCGAGTTCCTGGGCATGATGGCCAGGAGAATGAAGGACAGGGACAACGAGGAGGAGATCCGGGAAGCCTTCCGCGTGTTCGACAAGGACGGCAATGGCTTGGTCAGCGCAGCCGAGCTGAGGCATGTGATGACCAGGCTGGGGGAGAAGCTGAGCGACGAGGAGGTGGACGAGATGATCCGGGCGGCAGATGTGGATGGGGACGGGCAGGTCAACTACGAGGAGTTCGTCCGCATGCTGGTCTCCAAGTGAGAGGCGGGCAGGTGCCGCAGCCCCGTCAGGCTGCCCCCACTCTGCTTTGCTGGGGATCTATCTGCCTCTGGCTGCCTCAAGAGCCTCGGACCTCTCGTTGCTTCCTCCGCCCACCAGTGTCCCCCAGCACCGCTTCTTCTCGGGCAAGGCGAAGTCAGGCCCTGTCTCTGCATCTCACTTTGTCTCCTGTTTCCTGCCAACCTCCCCCACCCTGGTCTCACCCAGCATGACACAAGCTGCTGCAAGCCCAGCAAACCCAGGGTGCTCCGTCCCTCGGGATTAGAAGGAAAGTGATGACTCTCCACATGGACAATGAGCAGAAGGATCAGAAAGTTGTGACATCACTGAGTCCTCTGGGCAGGGTCCCTAAAAGGCACTTGGCACTCAGACCTGGGCAGCTGTAGCCCTCAGACTTCATCCGCTGCAGGTGAAAGAAATCTTGCCCTGGTGTGACAGTGATGATAGAGACTCTGACAGTGGAGACCAGGCCTCCCGAGAAACAGCACTTCTTTTCCACAGGGTGCCCGCCTGCTCCTCCCTGTCTTCGCCAAACCTCTGTGATTCATCTTTTGAAGGTGGGAGTAAAACCAGACTCGGTTGTGACATGTCTGTATTCATCTACTTGGAGGGAAATTTTAATGAAAGGGAGAGGGAAGCCGCAGGGGGAATGAATAAAATGCTTCTGTTCCTATAATGTTTCTTTTTTTTTTTTTTTTTCTGAAATGATCTTTGTTGAGTCCAGGGTTGAAATGATGTCAGAATCTCCACTTTTGAGTCTTTTGAAAATGCAGTGAAGTCTTGTCTTGGTGGGCATAGTGTAAAGGGAGAAATCTGAGTAAGGTGAATTTTGAATATTTATTTCATGAAGTAATCAGCAGCAGGCCGTGGTTGAAAATCCATGCAGCCTCCTCAAGTTCAGAGGCAATTAATGCCAGAAAGATGCTCTGATCACTGTTGGCGTTTCTCCCACATTCACTCCCTGGTGCTGTGCTGTCTCTGTGGTTAGAAGAAGGTGAGGGGTAGGAAGTGCTAACTGTGTGTCCAGTACGTGTGGGGCAAGGGCCGGTTGCTTGCTTGCTATCAGAGGTCACATTGGATAACCCGGAGGTCGAAGGAGCCTCCTTAGAGATTATTTTAGTTTCAAAGAACATGTGTTGGGGGACAGACACTGCACTGGGGCTTATCAGAATTGACCACCAGCCCTGGGACAGTCACAAAGCATCCAGCCAATCATGGAGAAGTCCTTCTTCCTTGACAGCCCCTCCCCACCGTGTGTGTTTCCTCTTATGTAAAATGAAGAATATGGGGTCAGATAGACAGGGACTTCAGGGCTTGTGATTCTTGTTGCTGACTGTGCTCAAATCCCTTAGCCTCACCATGATGAGGGCTGGCGCTCACGCAGCCCCTCCCGGTGGTCATGAGCGCTCTGTGTGCACAGTGAGCTCACTGCCATACTAAGTAGTAGCTACTATTAGTGGTTTCCCATCTTACCAATGAGAGAGGTAAGACACAGAGAGCTCAGGAAACCAGCCCAATGTCCCATGGCTGGTAAGTGACAGAGATGGGTTCAAATGCAAAAGCAGTGTGCGCCCTTGACCACTCACTGCCACTCTACGCCTCTTTGCCTCCACTGTGACCTAATGATTGTCATGCTGCCTGTCTTGGGCATTTGTGGGGATTAGAAATAGTCTTAAAACACCTGGCATGCAGTTAGTGCTTAACACACAGCAGCTACTATTGCTATCACCTGTGGAATCCTCCTGCCTCTCTAACACTGAGACTTGGCAACATAGTTCTACCCCTAGGAACAGTCCAAGGGAAAAGATGAGGCCAGAAGAGGGCAGGGGCTGAGGGGCCTTTAGGGGCAGGTGTCAGGTGGAACCGGCCCTAGTGCAATGCAGCTATGAGGCCAGTGGTGGAAGAGGAGGGTGGCGCTGTGGCCTGGCTTCGCAGACTGGACCTGTGAGCCAGTCCCCTCTGCAGTCCTCTGCAAGTCCTCAGAAGTTGGGGTCAGCTGCACACCTTCATGTGAAGTCGGGAACAAGCCCATGAGTGAAGGACAGAGCATCCAGATGTCACTGGACATAGCTGCCTCAGGGCACCTGTGAGCATAAAAACCAAGCTAGTCGTCACCTCAGAGGTTCAGACATTCATTACAGTTCCACCTGCCAAAGGAAACAGACTTCACCCCCACGGGTGAACGTGATCCTGATCTCAGTGTCTTTATGGGGCATCTCCTAAATGCTGCAGGAAGGAAAAGAACAGGTGGGAAAGGATGGGGCCAGGGTCTCCCTCCACGACCAGTGTCAGCTGGTCTGTAGTAGTCAGCCTGCGCCTGGCTGGGCAGTTGGCACTCTGTCCCCTTCTTTTCTGGTGTCAGCCTCTCTAACCCCTGGGCAGTACAGAGACCTTTATGCCTGCTCACCTTCAGCTGGAAGGCCAGAAAGTGTCTCTTTGGGCTTCCACCTAGGCTTCTGGTAATATAACAAATTCTTCTGTAATTGTGTTTTAACACACTTGAGAGAGTTTTAGAGAATCCGTGGGGCCAAAGCAGGGACTAGGCCAGTATATGGAAAGACCCCCCCTGACAAGCTCTGACCCTCCCTTAGGCATTCCAGTGACAGCTCCGGAAGCTGGGCCACAGATGGGGTGCAGACAGGCTTGACGGAGGTGTCCATTTCTCCCCCATCTCCAGAGAGACCTCAGGCCATCTGCCCTGTCACTGCCACCACTGCTCTCGTGACTCTAAGCATCATGTAGGAATCACATCCCTGTGGGGACCCTCAAATGCAGATTAGTAATAAATGAAGTTCTCTTCTTTCCACATGGGAAATCTAAGGGAACGTGGTCAAGGCAGTCCCACAGAGCTAAATATGCTTCCTTCCCTCCCTTAGGTTTACATTACTAAATACAATTTTTTAAAATTGTTTTTCCACCTTCCTTGCTTATTTGAACAAGATCATCATCCTGCTTGGCCACGTGCTATAGCCCTTCTCCCCACCTGCCAGGTTAGGGACCTGCCAGGCCCAAGGGGGACAGGGTTGGGCGGACAAGCCCTGATTCTAGGGCAGTCCCCTGCTTTGGCAGCCATGCTGACCCTCCCCGCAGGCCCCGACCAAGCCAGCTCAGTGCATCCTGTTACACATCAGCATGGACCCAGGGCCCAAGGGCACACCTTCACTCTTTCCAGCTCTCGCTCCATCTTCTTTTCCTTCTTCTTCCCCGTGCTGCCAGGACTTGTTCTGTCCCGAGACACCTAGATAAATGTCTTGTTGGTAAAGTGCAGTTGCCCTAATCACCAGATGTAGTTCCCTGGCCTAGTTAGGAAGGGCAGTGGAGGCCAGAGGGCTGGAGCCTCAGAAAGGAGCCACCGGGTACTCCCTAACCAGGGGAGGCCCTGGGGGAGGGGGGGAGGAGCTGGCTGCAGATCCATGCCCCTCACTCTCTCTTCTCCTGGAACAGACTTTGAGGCAGTTCTCACCCACATTTCTTCCTCTCACTGAATAACAACTGGACTTAAACAGCTAATTCCCTTTATCCACCCCCACCAAAGGTGCTGACTGCTGCTCAGAACATTCCATCTGCCCTTGAGGAAGGAATTTATAAATATTGCCTCTGCTTCCATGTGCTTGCACCAAGCTTCTCATAAATCAAGGCCGAGGCTCCCGGACCTCCCAGACTATATAAAGCCACCCCTCTCACTCCTGGGTTCCTATTTTAAATTAAGCAAAGCTCAGCCCTGCTGGCTCCTGTTGATCCTCACAGATTCCAGGGGCCACTCAAAGGCTCCCAAACTAGGAGGCTAAAAATGACTGTTGTTCCCACTGGAGAAATTTAAAATTAAAACTCACATGTGGTGTAGAGACTGCTCCATGATAAATGGAATATGTGTGTATGTGCATATATACACACACATATAAAAAGGCCTGGGTGTATCCCACCTACTACTCTCTCTACCATTCTGCTCTTCTGGTGGTTGTTTCCATAGCAACCAGCTTCTCAGGAGCCTGAACCCACCCAGAGAGATGGGACCCGGGCTTGGAGCAACTGGTTAGTAAAAGGGCTGCACTGCCCTTGTACCAGGTGTTGGGTGCTGGGGACTGGGGGGACTGGAGCACCTCCCTTCAAGTGCAGAGAAAGTCAGGGAGTGGTCATGGAGACAGGCTTGAGTAGATCTGGAGAGGATGGCAGTGTTTCATCCTCTGAGGAGAAAGTACCAATGGGGACAATCAAAGATCTCCTGAGGGGACCTCTCAGGTCTTCTGTTTCTTACTAGTGTCCCTCAGAATACTGGGAACAAAGGAGCCAAGCATCTAGTCCAGAAGAGGGGCAGCTTCTGGAGGCTAAATACCATGTGGACCCAGGCTGTCTTGGCTGATTGCCTGGTGCTGCCCTGCAGACCTGGGGTGACTGGACAGCAGTGGAGTTAACCCTGTGGAAATGGACCCTGTGCAATTCTGCCAACCACAGGGAGAAGCTCATCTCCCTTGTCACCTGCTGAGCTGATCTCATCTACAGCCCCACTGTGTACCCTGAGGATGCTGGTTCTGAGGCTCCCAGGAAGCACAGCTCTCACCGAGGGCACACTTACATGCATAGACCAGACTGTGTGACATGCTTACGGTGCACTGCATTAGCTTATTAAATTCTCAAAACAAGAGGGTATGGCTACCACTGTTGTAGCTCACTTTAGAGAAGAGAAGATTGAGACTTCAATAGTTTAAATAACTCCTCAAGATTACATATATGGTAAGATAGTGTTTGAACCCAAATCCAAAGTCAGCATCCTCCCCACCACCAAGGAAAAGGCCCTCAGAGCAAACAGCCTGAGACTGAAGGTACCTGGTCTAACAGAAGCTCTGAGCACTACAGCTGAGAGACATGCGTGGAAAGGCCTGGAAGAGAAAACAGCTGCTGGGCAGATAGGACCTGGACTAAAACAAGATATTAAACACTGCTAGGCAGTCAGAAGCAGAGAGAACTGCTGTGCTGGCATTGGAGTG